GGGAAAGGAAAAAGACAACCCTAATGTATCTGGGCTGTGGGCTGTGGGCACAACCAACTTAGGCTTCTATGATCCCATTCAAAGGTCCAAAAAGGCTAGAGATGTCTATTCTACTCTCTGCTCATTTATTGTCCCCACAAGAGGAACACAGAAAAAGTGAATCACATGAGATTTTCGGAGCCTTTCTGGTGAACTAACCCCTACATATCTCTTTTAGAAAAGTAAAAATGAGCTAGCTCCTACCCATCTCTCTTAGAAATGTGTGTGTATATATATATATATATAAAATAATACAGGATAGATTATCGTTTTGAAATTTTTTTAAAAGAATTTATTTAAAATTTTATATTTTAATTAATATTTTAAAAGATTAATTATTTAATTAAAAATTTAACTTATATAAATCATATATATCAATTTTTATATTCATTTATTATTTATGATTCTTTGATCAAAAAAATATTATTTACTTATATATATTTAACAATGTTAAATTTTTTATAATCAACAAAGTGGTTATGTTTATTAGAATAATTTAAAAATTGATATACATAATTTATATAAATGAAAATTTTAATTTAATAGTTAATTTTTTAAAATATTAATTAAAAACAAATTTTTAGTTATATTATCCAAAAAAATTTAAAACGACAACCTATAAAATACTTTCTTCATATATATATATATAGAAGTTTTTTATTTTATATATATCCTTTCTTTTTCTGCTTATCCTAGTTTTACGTATTGAAAGTTATTTACTCATTATTGCATATGTTTCAACCTATATCTGTGTTACGATTTGGGAAACAGGATGGGGTAATTTTTTTGTACAATTTTTTTTATGTAATTTATATATATTTATTTTTTATATTAATCTTTCGATATCTGATAATCACATTGGTTTTCGATTAATTTAGAATCGAGTCATGTCGGACCTCATTTGAGAGGAAGTTCTCCCAGCGCATATTTATCCATTCATAAGACTCGAACTTGAAATCTTACTTAAGGGGAATTGAACTCTTTCCACTTGAATTAACAGATCGTTGATTGTAATTTATATATATTATTAAATATATATAATATTATATATTTTAGTAGAATGAAAAAAAAATCAATAATTACATAACATTTAAAGTTATATAAAAAAATATTATAAAAATTT